AAATGGAGTTAGGTTTTTGTTCAGATTATTATAAACAGGTTTTTTTAAAATCTATATAATGTCCAGTAGGACATAGAAAGTTCTGTGGCATTCAGCAGTTCTTCATTGGGTTGGACTTCCCTGCAACTGCAGGACATCAACCATATCTGGCCCCCCGCTCCCTCAATGACAGCAGTGTCTCTTCAGTGATGCCGGCAGCCAAGAAATGCTCCCACAGATTTCCAAAATGCCCACCAGGGGGTGGCACCGTCCCTTTTAAGAACTACTGAAGTAGAACATGTGAATAGAACTGACCTTTACACTAGAGAAGCTCTCTATGTGCTTGTTAAATAGAAAGACTAAGAATCTCGCAGATTCTCACAGTCATCATTTTGAACTTTAATTCACACTGTGGAGAGGCTGTAGACATACATGGGGAAGATGTAGACAGGGATTGCAAAATGTTTTAATCTTGGAAGCCTACCCCTGTTGGTTGGAAGTTGCTGCCCTAATGTCATATACAGAATCATTTTTGAGGTAGTGTCCAGCTTATTCAATCATTCAGGAACTATTTATTATCTGTCACATGCTAGACATTGTTCTAGGTGTTGGCGATCCAGTAGTGAATAAAACAGACACAGGTTTGGATCCTCATCGAGCTAACATTTCAAGTTCAGCCATAGCTGACCATCAGGGGGTCCGCCACAGGGACAGGACGGGGAGCGGCAGCACACTAGCTATAAACTTGTTTTCCTGAAACAAGAGAGTTATTTGAATCACTGCTGACTCCAGGAACTGTCCTGGAATTTTATTTTTAAAAGGTAAGAATCTGATGTAGGTTAATTTTTCTATCATTTGTCTTTTTCTCCTCAGAAGGAGAAGAAAGCATCTGCCAACTGAGAATTCTGATTTTTTTTTTTTTAAAAGCCATTTGATTTTTTAAAATTATTATTAAAAAAAAAAAAAAGATTTTTTTGTTTGGCTTTCTGACTTTGTGCTTGTGTCTTCAACACTTTCACAACGATTTTCTGCTCCTCAGTAAGGAAAGGCAGCTTGATGCTGTCACGGGCACATTTGGCACACGTGGAACCACCATAGGCCCTGCTGACATGTCTTTTTTGTTTTGGACAACCTCGTGAGAACTTTAGGGCTCACAGCACGAGCCCCTCGAAGCCAGCCTGGGCACACATCACATGCGGATTCTGGTGCTTTACCAACCTTCTTGGTGTAAAGGCAAACAATTCTATTCCCAGGGGTTCAGGACAGGGTCTAATTTTGTTAGAAGCTGTATTGTAGGACAGCTTATGTCAGTAGGTCAGATGCTGGGCCACCCTGAATGCCTCTAGACACTGTCCCTGGAAGAGCTGGGTTCTTGTTAACAGAGACTATTCTGTAATTTTTAAGGATGCATTGGAATTAATGACCAGATACCAGTTGCCAAGAAACGGGGACTTGTCAAGTCCTGAACAAGAATTTATTTCAAAGTAATCAAGATACCCTGATTTATCAAAACTTCTGAACATCCTGTCTCAGTGAACACCTGTCCAGTAACATTCTTGGGGCAAAGGGGTGGGCTCCTTCAAGGCATGAGAATAAGATACATATCCCAGTTCTGAGTGAGGGGTAGAATATTATTGTCATTAAAAGCATGGATCTAGAATAGGCAAGTGTATAGAGACCAAGGTTTATTCGTAGTTACCAGGGATGGATGAGAGGGTGAGGGAAGAGGGAGTCACTGCTTCGGGGGCATTGAGCTTCTGTTAAAGGTGATGGAAAAACTTGGAAATGGATAATGCTGGTGGTTGAACAACATGATGAACATAACTGATGTCCCTGAATCGTACATGCAAAGAGTGGTGAAATGGCAGATGTTTTGTTACATATATATTTACCACAATAAGACAAAACCAAAAACAAAAAAGAAATGTTTGTTCCTTAAAAATGAAAAAGAAAAAAGCATGGGCTTTTGAATCCAGTCTGCTTTGGAGTCCTGGACCTGCCTCTTGCTGCTTGTGTGATTTTGGGCAGGTTACTCAGCCTTTCGAGGCCTCTGAGTCCTCGTCTGCAGAATGAGTAAAGGACCTCCCTCTGTAAGTTATGAGACTGAAGGAAACAACATTCCCAAAGCGCTGAGCACAATGCCTGGTCCATGCTTGCTCAGGGTGCCTGAGTTATCATTACTGTCATCTTTTCTTGTCTAGGAAAAGTACATGGGGGGTGGAGGGGAGGTGGCGGGATTCTTTTCTTTCTAGGTGAACATTGCCACTCAGCAGCATTATTGCAATTCCAGGAAAGCAGATGCCTGTTCTTGTAAACAAGCTTATGGTTTCGCATACTTTATAGGATTGTAAAGGTAGGAAGTACATTAAAGATCATCTGCTCCAACCCCTACATTATATAAAGGAATAAGCTGAGTTCCAGGGAGGTGACATGAGCTAGGACTAAAAGCAGTGTTTATATCCTAAAAGTCAGGCCTCCAAGGTTACTTAACCCATAGCATGGCCTGGTGTTTCTCAGAGTAGGAATGTAGGGCTGCCTGTATTAGAATCACATGAGGGGCTTTTTAAAATGCAGGTTCCTGGGTACTATATCCAAGCAAGTTTTATGAGAATCTCTCGAGACAGGGCCTGAGAATCTATATTTAATACAAGCTCTTCATGTCATCTTTAAGCACACTTGAATTCAAGCACCACTCATGAAGTGGGTGAACAATCACCTTGACTTGGGGTATTAGAAAGCATGTCTGTACTCCATACCCAGTGCCACCTGGTGAAGACTTGGTCACAGTGCATTTCAAACAAGACCATAAATCCAGGACCGTTGACCTATCTAAACAATTCCAGCTGTCATTTCTATTGGTTTCTGCCTCAGTTATCCATTGAATCCTTTGTATGCCCGGACAGCTCCTGTTCTGTGGCTCTTGTGAGGTTGTATAACTCAGTGTAGCTCTCTGCTCTTGAAAAGGTCCAAGAAATGAATTAATACATGTAAAGACTTGGAATCGTGCCTGACTTACAGTAAGTGCTTAATAAATGCCAGCCATTAGTATTATTGGAGTCCCTGGGTGACCCAAATGGTTAAGCACTTGGCTACTAACCTAAAGGTTGGCAGTTTGAATCCACTCAGAGGCCTCAGAGGAAAGTCTTGACCATCTACTTCTGAAAGATCATAGCCACTGAAAAGCATGCTATGAAGTAGTTGTACTCTGACATACATGGGGTTGCCATGAGTTGGCATCAACTGAACTGCAACTGGTTATTAGTATTGTTACTCATTAGAGGAGGAAAAAACACGTTCAGAAAGGTGATGCTGGTTTCTCTGATGGGAGCCAAGTAGGAACTTCATAGGGTCCGATGTCCATTTTATTAGCAAAGATGACTGGAGATGCTCATAAAGAAAAAGGCAGATCCCATCTAAGACTCAGTAAATGCGTGGTACAGAGTTCTCCTTTGTTGTTGTTTTTTCCCTGCAAAGTGAATGTAAGATCAAATATGACTTCACTTTTGACAGTTTAAATTGTTGTTTGCATCAGCAAAAATTTACCTGATGATGATGATGGTTTAGTTAAGAGAGTATTTATTCTCCTACACGCAGATACACAGAGACATGCAAAGAACATAGGCTGTTGTATACTTTCCAGATCGTCGTAAATGATCTGTGCATCTATAAAATTGAAAATACACGAACATGGAGAATTTCAGTTACAAAGGAATTCTTAGCTGTAATAAGCAGTATGTAACTGAGAGGATATGAAAAAGAATGGAGAAATGGTGAAAAGAGAGAGTTCTTTTTATTCTTGAATAAAGCATCTGTCAAATGCAAAAGAAAATTATTGTGGACCCTGGAGCCAGGAATCCACGGTGACAGCATTATGCAATAACAGCCCCTTTCATCTGTAGATCTCCCAACTAATTAAGTTTCACCATACTCATACAACTCACACTTGAGTTTTATTTACTCCTTTTTTTTTCCCTAAGAACTATGGCAGGGAATGTTGAAAGGGTTACTCGAAGTTACAAAGCTAGGATTTGAACCCAGTACTCAAAGCCTCAGAAGCTCTGGTGGTGCAGTGGTTAAGAGCTCTGCTGCTAACCAAAAGATTAGCAGTCCGAATCCACCAGCTGTTGCTTGGAAACCCTATGGGGCAGTTCTACTTTGTCCTACAGGGTTGCTATGAGTTGGGATCAAGTCTACAGCAACGGGTTTTGTTTAACTCAAAGCCTCTAGCCCCGAAAAAGAGGGGGTCCATATGATGGGCTTGACAGTTGATTCATGCCTGATGTTCTGTGGAGCAGGAAGTGATCTCCAGCACCTCTGGGAGGAAGGAGTAAGCTAGGATCTCAGGAGGGCCTAGGAGGCCAGGAGTGGGGCCCAGGGATCCTGATGCACAGTGACGGTACACATGCCTGGCCTTTTGCCACCATGCTCCATTTGTCTTAGTCTTGCCATGGTCCTGGATGGACACACAGGGATTGCAGTTCATACAGACTTGTCCAGGTTCTTCTTGTGAGGTAGGCTGTGAACACGTGAGTATGCACATGTAGGGGCTTGGATCGAGGCATGAGAGGGGAGTGGATGTGGTACTGGTGGACAGACAGGCCAGTCAGTTACCAAGTGAAGGGTCACCAGGAGGAAAATCAAGGAGCAGAAAGAAAATCAAAGAAAATTCTGATTGCTACCAGTTTTTATTCCAAATAGCATCAGATGATTAAAACCAAATGTTGTATAACAATCATGGTCTATATCTCTAATAGAAAAATAATACAAATAAGTAGTATGTAAATATTTTTTTTCATTAAACAATATTAAAACAACTGCAAGTGACAGTTTATGTGGTTATATGTACATGGATGTTTACAGATGAGATTATACTTCTTTTTTTTTTTTTGTTTTAACGAAGAGAAGTTTATTTCCTCACAGTCAAAGTAGGCTAAAAGTCCAAATTCAGGGCGTCAGCTCCAGGGGAAGTCTTTCTCTCTCTGTTGGCCTTCTCATCAGTGTTTCCCTGGACTAGGAGCTTCTCGGCACAGGGACCCCGGTCCAAAGGAGGCACTCTGCTCCTGGCACAGCTTTCTTGATGGTATGAGGTCCCCCTATACTTCATCCTTGTTCACAAGAGAGTTTTGGAAAATGTTAAGATAATACTGCCTTTATTTAAAAATACACAGAAAAAGTGTTTTATCTGGCATTCTATCATCCACATTTCAGCTAAGCTACAGTATAAAGGCAATTGATGTTCATAATTTGAGGGTCTTGAAAGATCCTAAAATGCCTTTTAGGCCATCAAAGAAAAATGAAATAATATTAGATGGAGTTGAGGTTTTTTTTTAACTTTGATATAGTTTTAACAGTGATTTTTTTTTTTCAATTGCCCTTTAAGTTTTTAAAAATTGGGAAACTGCAAATTGTATAAAAGCGAATTATCTTACTTCGGAACATTCAATTAACCAGAAAACCCCATTCTCTAAGCAGGCACTCTAACAGAAATTTTATGAAAAAGGAAACGTGGCCAGAGCAAAACATTTCCTCTTCTTATAAACCTTGAACTAAGCGTGTCCCTTACCGATTATATACGGTCCCTTGGGCCTCAGAACTTTCCACAAGCGCCCAGGTCTCTATGGCGATGCACCGGGCTGCTGAAGCGGAAACGCAGGCAATAGGTACCCACAGGGGAGAAGCTTTGGCTGCAGAAAACGACGCAGGTCCGTCTAGAGGGTCGGGGGCTGACTGCTGCCATCTGGCCAGGAGTCTGTAGCACCCCCCGGGCGGCCTGTCCACGAAAGCGGGCGGCGCACTACCTCCAGGCTGGCAACTGTGATGGCTGCCACTGCGCCGGGGTCTGGCGGCTCCCTCTGGGACCCCGCTTTCGTCGGTGCTTACACTGCACCCTTCCCACGTCCACGGAGGCCATGACTCAGGTGAAAGGAGTTCGTTTTGCCCAGCCCCTGGTCCCATGCAGCCGTTCAGTATCCCATTTCAAATTACACTCCAGGGCGGCAAGAGACGCCAGGGGAGGTAAGTCACCACTAGACTCTCAGCCTATGACGGGCATCTCCTCAAACAAGTGGGTGGAAGGAGAGCGGCCATGGGAGTTTGGGGGCTGAGTTTGGTCCCCATCCTCTGAGGGTGCCACTTGCCAGGCCTCCCTAGCAGCACACACACCGTGGGGCTGCATCTTTTCTTGTTGACTTCCTTCTCTGGGTTGCAAACTCCTGGAGTCCAGGGACCTTTTTTAAATCACCACTGGAAACCTGGTGACGCAGTGGTTAAGCACTCGGCTGCTAACTGGAAGGTCAGCGGTTTGAACCCATCAGCCACTTCCACAGGAGAGAGATGCGGTAGTCGGCTTCCATAAAGATTTACAGCCTTGGAAATCTAGGGAGCAGTTCTGCTCGGTCCTGTTGGTTTGCTATGAGTCAGAATTGACTCTTTGGCAACAGTTTTTTTGGTTTGGATCCCCGGCATATAGAACATGGTCTAGCACATAGCTGGTGCTCGACAAGCATTTCTTGGTTGAATGCAGGAGTGAGGGAATTACCACCAGCATCAGGTCTCATCGGTGAAGCATGCTTTGGCCTTGGAATCATCAGGTCTGGATTCAAATCCTAGCTCCAAAAGCTATGCGACTGGACAAGTCCCTTAACCTCTCCCTGCCGCTTCTGCTTACCTGTGAAATGAGGATAATAATAGCCCCTACATAGCCTTAGGGTAAGATGAAATAAGATGCTTACCAGATACAAAGCATTATCTCAGTTGTTGTTGTTGTTAGGTGCCATCAAGTTGGTTCCAAGTCATAGCAACCCGATGTGCGACAGAACGAAACGCTGCCCGGTCCCGTACCATCCTCACAATTGTTACACTTGAGCCCGTTGTTGCAGCCACTGCGTCAATCCATCTTGTCCAGGGTCTTCTTCTTTTTCTCTGAAAGAGCATGATGTCCTTCTCCAGGGACTGGTCCCCCCTGATAATGTATCCAAAGTACTTGAGACGAAGTCTTGTCATCCTTGCTTCTAATGAGCATTCTGGCTGTATGTCTTCCAAGACAGATTTGTTCATTCTTCTGACAGTTCATGGTATACTCAATATTCTTTACCAACACCGTAATTCAAATGCATTAATTTTTCTTCAGTCTTCCTTATTCATTGTCCAGCTTTCCCATTCATATGAGGCGATTGAAAATATCACGGCTTGGGTCAGGCACACTTTAGTCCTCAAAGTGACATCTTTGCTTTTTCAACACTTTAAAGAGGTCTTTTGCAGCATATTTGCCCAATGCAATATGTTGTTTGATTTTTTGACTGCTGCTTCCATGGGCATTAATTGTGAATCCAAGTGAAATAAAATCCTTGACAACTGCAGTCTTTTCTCCGTTTATCATGATGTTGCTTATTGGTCCAGTGGTGAGCATTTTTGTTTTCTTTATGTTGAGGTGCAGTCCATACTGAAGGCTGTACCACAGTAGCTAGCCCATTATACTCTCTACACAACTCAGCGATTGTTATTACCCCTCATCTCTGTTCCATAAGGGGAAGTGAGATAGTTAGGCTGTCTTCAGGACCTCTTCTCTCCCCAGGGGAATGCAAAGCAGAGGGGCTGAGAGCCTTGAGTGAAGCTGCTCTAGAGTTAGCACTCCTTGCCCCTGGCCTGGGTTTGGGGCAGTGGGGCATTCAGAAATGAGCACCAACACTGAGAGAAAAGCAATGACTGAGGGTGTTTGAGGATTGTGATATTAAAAGCTTGCAAGCTTCCTCTTGGGATGGGTACATTTCACAGCAGAGTTCTCTCTCTCTGTCTGGAAACCTGAAATATTTGTTAGTGGCTTAAGTGGAGCTGGGAGCCGAGAAAGTAGAAACATTAAAGATCATGAGGGCTACCAGGTCACTCGCTTCCGTTATCCTTTAATTACATTCATGGATATTTGAGAAGGAGAATGCAGAAGGAAAGAGAGAGAGAGGGGGGTTTGCACGGGGATAGAGGGTGGGGAGGTCCCTGAGTGGCCCAAATGGTCTGTGCTGGGCTGCTAACTGAAAGGTTGGAGATTTGAACCCACCCCGTGGAGCCCGTGGAAGAAAGGCCTGGTGACCTACTTCCATAAAGATTATAGCCGAGAAAACCCTATGGAGCTCAGTTCTATTTTGTACCACATGGAGTCTCCATTAATCTGAATGGGCTTGATGGTAACGGTTTTCTTTCCTTCTTTCTTTGCTAGAGGCTGGGAGATGGGGGAAGAAGAAGCAGACAGACTAAAGAGGAAGGAGAAACAAAGAGATACGGGCAAAAACACTTCTCTCCTTGAAATGGCTTTTGTGGAAAGACAAAGTATGGCAAAAGATCAAATGACGAACAGGCAAGGGAACAAGTTTTAATGTCCCATTCATAACAGAACTAACTAGATATAAGGGTAGTCATATTGTCCCCAAAGCGATACAATATCCATTTCATTTCTGAAATGCACAGTTTGACTGTCAGTCTTTCCTCTTGCCGAACTTGACGAACCGTGCTGACTTTACTCCATCTCATTTGCTGTTTCAAAAGAAGTTGTTAAATAATTTTGTAATTAAAAAATAGAAGGGTAAAAATAATTACCAGATTCTCCTCTGCAACAAAAACAAATTACAGGGAAATATTAATTTAACATACGAAATGCTTAGAAGTTATTCATGCAAAATGAGTGTCAGGTGAATTATCAAGCGTCTTTCTGAAGAATACTTTTTGCACAAGTCACAGTGTTGGAGGGAAAGGCTGCTGGCTTTTGTGGGGCTCACACCCAGACAAGCAAGTTCAAGCTCTTTGAAATAGAGTTTACCTCAGGTGAAGTCAGAAGGCACAAGTAGCAAAGTGTGGTACAAGCTGTGACTCAGGTCTGGTGGGAAACTCAGTCTGATCTGTAGGAAGGCAACAGAAGGGGTGGGTACTACTTTGACTACGAATAAAACATCTCAAGGCAACACAATGATTAGAAGTGGACATGTATTGTCGGCAAAAAGGAATAAAAACGCTTTTCACTCATCTCACTGGCTAGAGAGCTAACTAGATCATTCTTAAGTGCTTTCAGGTTCTTGGATGAAAGGTGCTTATAAATACCGTAAATTTAATTACAGTTAGCTTAAAAAATGGGAAGGTTAACTAGAGGGCTGTTTATAGTCTCAGAAAACTAGAAACAACCTAATATTCACCAATAAGGAGGTGGTTAAGGAAATCGTGGCATAGCCAAGTGATGGATTAGTATGCAACCAATAGAATGGTTACAAAGTAAATGTTATTTCTAGGTATTCTATTTGGTTCTTTTTAATATTGGCTTGGTCATATTTTAGAGTTTCTTGCTCTTCTGATATTTCCAATCCTTCTTTTAGTTCTTTAAACATATTATAGGTACTTACCTTTTATTCTGTCCAAATATCTTAAGTTTTTGTGGATCTGATTCCGTTGTTTCTCTTTCCTCTCTCGGAGCCTGTTTACTTCTTTGTGTGTGTTATGAGTTTTTAAGGAAAGCACACACTCCTTGGAATTTAATCTGTAGGAATCCTTTGAGGCCTAGGTTGAAGGTGGGTTCCTCCAGAGAAATAGGAATTTGCTTGTGCCAGGTGCCAGAGAACACGACCTACTGGAGACAACATTAAACTGGATGCTTAGCTTACGGTTTTTGCGTTACCCAGGCAATGTGAATTCAGGCTACAAACTCTCCTGAGGATCACCTTAAGGTTTGTTGCTGCGGTATAGAAAACCAAGTCTGTTTAAGAGAAAATCACAGAGGTTTATTGCAAGCAAAGATTTCAGTTAGAACTGGGAACAGCACAGCTCACTGAGAGGAGACAGTGGTGAATCAGGGATAATTATACTGCTGTAGCAGGCATCAGCAGGCATCAGCAGGCGTCAGCCACAGGTTGGTCTTGATTGGTGCATCTCCGATTAGGGAAGTGGGAGGCAGGATCTCTCGAGGTGGGGAAAAGGTGCCTAATTGGTTCAGAGGGTGTAGCTGCAGAACACTGATTGGCTACCAATTGTTAATAGCTATAATTAGTGATTACAGATAGTTTCACAGGATGTTTAGATAGCAGTCACAAGATGCTTACATGTATTTTCTTTGACTATCTTGCAAAAATACCTTGCTGGCAACAGCACCCAGACGGCACTCTTCCTGAGTATGTATATTTTGAGGGGTGCAGATGGTCACTTGGTCAAGATCCCTGGGGGCATATGGTTTCACATCCTGGTTTTGACCATGAGGAAAAACATGTTTTTCTCAGAAAACATAGCTATTAGACTAGAAATCCAGATTAAAATTAGATTGTACGGTCAGCATATTATGCCTCTGTCTCACGGACTGCACTGAAAGTTTTTTTTTTTTTTTCCTTGAGACAGGTTATAAAACCTCAAGGGAGATTTTAATTTTCCTCTCCTACTCACTGTTAAGATTTGAGAAAAGCATTTTCTTGGCCGACTCCTATGGTGTATGTGTGTGTGTAGCGTGATTATTTCTAGTTCAATCCTTCACTGAGTCTGAGGCCCTTTGGGGTTCCGGCTTCAGTTACTTGAATGGTATCTTATATTCCACACCTTGGATAGGCTCTGGGTATTACTTCCTGTCCCCACATCCCCCCAACTGTGAAAACTGAGGCTTAAGTTTACCGTGTTTTACAAATGCCCTCAAGGTAAAAGTTGACTTCAGGAGTCCACTTCCTTCTCTGGGTCCCCACTTTCACATAGTTTTTGTCCTTTGAGTATTTCCAACTCTTTTTTTTTTTTTTTCAGTTTTGGCCAGAGTTTTTAGTTGTTTTCAGTTAGAGTGCTGAGTAGGCTCTTAGCCCACCACACGGCTGAAACAGAAGTCTATCACTTTTACAATAATAAAAATATATTCATGTACAGGAGACAGGCCTGGTGATCTGCTTCTGAAAGGTCACAGCCTTGAAAACCCTGTGGAGCAGTTCTACTCTGCACACACGGGGTCGCCACAAGTCAGAATCGACTAGACGGCAACAAACAAGAACTACAGTGTTCATTTTCAGTAATACAGTCCCTTCCCCAAACCTGAAATAAGTTCTTCACAAGGAATGTATGAGGTTGTCAACTCTTCATAAAGCCTTTGAACAAAGTGGACAGAAATATCAGAAAGAGAAAACATAGTCTTGTACCCTACCGGGTATGTCTTTATTTCTAAACTAGACCAGAATCAGGTTATGCCTGTTTTATATATGGTAGAAATGCCAGGCAGACCTCATTATCAGCCCCTTCACCAGAGATATCTTACAGTAAACCTCTAGGATATCTTCTGATAAAAGCAACTGAAGTCCAGTTTCACAAGGGAAATGCACGTATTGAGTATGGGAAAACTACAGAAAATATACAAACTGTACTTTGAGGTTAAAACTCTCTCCTTAATCAAACGATCATATTTGTTGACAAATTATAAAATGTACTGGCCCAAATTTTATTTAAAAAAAATTTCCCTGCTGTAAAATGGTAGCATCAGATCTTGTCTAAATTCAGGGGGAGGAGAGGCAGTCAAGATCAGCATCAGCCCAAAGCTGATTCCTAGGAGGTGAAGGTCAGACATACCTCCAGTCTCTAACCCTTTTCACCAATTCTGACACCAGCCGTCCCTCCCACTGCATTCTCTACTTCTCTGCTGGGTTCAATAATTCGTTGCAATGGCCACACAGAACCCACAGACCATACTCACGATCATGGGGTTTATTAGGGAAGTAACAGGTTACAATTCAGGATTAGGATCAACTTGGAAGTAACAGGAAGAACTCAGGATACATTGCTTTGATCAGTATAGCTTCTTCTCAGCCGTGCCTGTGGGTAGGCCTCTGCTGCCGGGCCCTGCTCAGGCCTTGCCTTTGCCCTGCTTGGGCAAGTGTTACAGCTTTTTAGCTCATCGTAAGTGCCTGGAGGCACCCCACTCTGCTAGGAAGTCTCCTGCCTGAAGACACTCAGCTCTCTTGCTCCATGAGTCAGCAAACCCCCTGCAGCCATCTCCCGGTCCTGTGCCACTGCCATCTCATGCCACTGCTATCTCCAGTGTTACAACTCTCCAGTGTTACAGCTCTGTATCCTGGGTCTAGGAGGTTCTCAACGCAGGGACCCTGGGTCCAAAAGATGCATTCTGCTTCTGACTCTTCTTCTTGATGGTAGTGAGGTCCTTTCTCTGTCTCTGGGATTGGCTCTTTTTAAGCCTAGCAGAATGACAAAACTGACCCATCACCTTGGTGGCCCACAGGCACCTTATTTGCATAGTCCCATCCCCACAACGGTTCCGCGCACCTTATTTGCATAGTCCCATCCAGTCATTCTGTGGGAGTAACAAGACCATGGCTACAAGGGCCATATAACAGCAATTCACTGCACTGCACCTGCCTATTCTTTGATGGTGGGATGATAGAAGATGAGTACAATATCAAAGGGGACTGAAGACCCCCAAAGCAGATCGTTGGTTCCCGAAGTAGTATTAACCGAGGAGTACCATCATGTTCTGAGGTCACTGCTTCCCAGTGCAGGCCCCTGGGACATCCTGGGTGGCCTGGCATTCCCCTCACTCTCTCCTGAGTCCGAAGATGTTGCAGGTGAGAAAGGGAGCGAGGGAGAGGAAGGAGGAAGGATGTGTGATCAAGTATGAGATATGCATTTCTTGATAGGGATTTTGGTGGGCTTCAAAATTTAGTAAGCTTTTTAGGCAGCTTGATGGAGCCTGAGTTTTTACCATTATAGCCGCATTTGTTTGGCTTAGGATTTTGTTTAGCCTCTTAAAATGGAAATACCTCTGAGTCTCAAGTGCCTACCCAGCAGGGAACAGCAAATCAATGACAATGATGATGAGGAGTGGGACTGTGGCAAACTGGGGAACAAACACTTCTGTCCACAGCAGCTGCTGATCCACTTGGCCAGTTGTTCACGTGTAGGAATGTGGGTCTTGTGATTTTTTTTTTTCAAGTCAAAAGTCAGCATTTTAATGGAAATTTTATAACTTTTAAAGTGTTAGCAACTATTTCCACATTTTAGAAAAACCACAGAAAAGGCCAAACAAAACACATCTGTGCCATGGACGCAGTCCATGGGTTGCCTGCTTGCAGCGTTTGTGTTGGACTTTACTGTTCACTGGACACTGCAACGAGAAAGAATTTATTTATTTATTCTTTTTTTTTTAAATTGTACTTTAGATGAAGATTTGCAGAACAAACTAGCTTCTCATTAAACAATTAGTGTGCATATTGTTTTGTGACATTGGTTGCTAACCCCATGACATGTCAACACTCTCCCTTTCTCAGCCTTGGGTTCCCCATTACCAGCTTTCCTGTCCCCTCCTGCCTTCTCATCCTTGCCCCTGGGCTGGTGTGTCCCTTTAGTCTCGTTTTGTTTTATGGGCCTGTCTAATCTTTGAACGGTGAGCCTCGGGAGTGACTTCATTACTGAGCTAAACAGGTGTCCGGGGGCCATACTCTCAGGGCTTCTCAAGTCTCTGTCAGACCAGTAAGTCTGGTCTTTTTTGTTTTTGTTTTTTGGTGAGTTAGAGTTTTGTTCTACATTTTTCTCCAGCTCTGTCTGGGACCCTCTGTTGTGATCCCTGTCAGAGCAGTAGGTGGTGGTAGCCAGGCACCATCTAGTTGTGCTGGAGTCAGTCTGGTGGAAGCAGTGGTAGTTGTGGTCCATTAGTCCTTTGGACTGATCTTTCCCTTATGTCTTTGGTTTTCATTCCTCCTTGCTCCAAATGGGGTGAGACCAGTGGAGTATCTTAGATGGCCGCTCACAAGCTTTTAAGACCCCAGACGCTACTCACCAAAGATGAATGTGGAACTTTTTTTTAATAAATTATGTTATGCCAATTGAGCTAGATGTTCCCTGAGACCATGGTCCCCACAGCCCTCAGCCCAGTAATTTGGTCCCTCAAGGAGTTTGGATTTGTCTACGGAGCTTTCATGACCTTGCCTTGGACAAGTTGTGTTGGCTTCCCCGGTATTGTGTACTGTCTTACTTACCCTTTACCACTTATCTGTTGTCTCTTTAGTGTTTTTCCATTGAGAAAGAATTTATTACATGAGCAGGTTTTCAGACAAAGCAGAAGGAGAAGGGAAGAAATGTAGGGTCCCTCATGTAGAGCTGTGAGTAGACAGAAATTGGAAGGTGCGGGGGAGACGTGAAGACTTCATTATTCTGAGTTGAGTGGGCTGTGGGCCAGAAAGCCTTTTGACAGATATGCTGCCTTTCCAGCAGGTGGATAGGAAAGAACAGGGAAAGCCCTACTATTTCAGCGTGATGTTAATTCCAAATGTGTACCTTTTGAGTCATTCTTTCCATATGGAATTCATAAAAGAAAGTAAAAAATATTTTCAGGAGGAATGTTCAGTATCCTTGAAATATATATATGTAAGTTCACCCCTTGATCTGTAGGCATTTCAGAAACGCTTACTTACATAAAACAAATGAAAGCTGTTATTGTTAGCTACTGTCGAGTCAGCCCCTGACTCATGACCACCCCATGCACAATGGAATGAAACACTGTCCAGTCCTGTGCCATCCCCGTGATTGGTTGTGGATCAGATCATTGTGATCCGCAGGGCTTTCATTAGCTGATTTTCAAAGCAGATTGCCAGGCCCTTCTTCCTAGTCTGTCTTAGTCTGGAAGCTCCGCTGATACCTGTTCAGTATCACAGCAACACTCAAGCCTCCACTGACAGATGGGTGGTGGCTGCACATAAGGTGCATTGGCCGGGAATGGAACCCTAGTCTCCCGCATGGAAGGTGAGAATTCTACCCCTGAACCACCACTGCCCCCCAAATGAAAACTACATATAGGTGATTCTTCTCAAGTCATTGATTAAACAGATCTTAGACATCCATCAAGCAACATTCCTTAGTCTTGTTTGTTACGTTTTCTTTAAAAATATAACACATCACATTAGCTTATTTAGAAGAACTTCTCACCCATCTCTGAATGTGAGATATCATTGGGTTGCCATGAACCTGCTCAGGAGCCTCAGGTGGGCGGCAAGTGGGACCATCCTCCCGTCTCCATGGGTTGGTAAATGTTCCCAATTCCTTATGAGCTTATTGCAATGCCGCCTCCTCACTTCTGCCAAAGGACAGGCCTTTCTACCTCTGGGAAAAAGAGAAATACAGACTACAATGATGGAGACCCTCCAGATGTGCACAAGAAGCTGCCGTCCAGTGCAGGAGAGGACCGAGCCATGCTCCTGGGATTTGCGGTGATGGGCTTCTCCGTCCTAATGTTCTTCTTGCTTGGAATAACCATCCTAAAGCCTGTCATGCTCAGGTAAGAAACAGAGAAAAAAGACCCAGAGTTTTCCAGTTAAAGCCAGACCCAGGCTCAGTGGTAAACAAGGGGATGCTGGCTTTGGTCTCTCCAACCTAGGCCTTCCCAACTGTAGTCTAGTACAGGAAAGATATAATCACCTGTGCCTCTCTCTGTGGTGGGTGTAGGGGGCCAGGTTGGTGTGGAGGCAGAGGTGGTAAGAAAGTCAAAGATATTCCTCCACCCTCCCCCCCATCTCAAAAATACCTCCAGCACATAATCCACAAATTAGATATCTACTTAGGGTGTAAGTTCTCCTTTCAACATGTAGGTAACCCAGGGAAAGGTTAAGAGTTCCATGTGACCACAATAAAAGTTTTTTTGAGTCTGAGTTTTTTAAATTGGCTACCGGGCATGTGGAGCCCTGGTGGCTTAGTGGTTAAGTGATAGGGCTGCTATCCAAAAGCTCAGCAGCTCAAATCCACCAGCCGCTCCTTGGGAACCCTATGGGGCAGTTCTACTCTGTCCTGTACGGTCGCTATGAGTTGGAATCCACTCCACGGCAATGGGTTTGGTTTTATTCTTTTTTTTGCGGGGGGTGGGGGTACGGGGCATATAGTAGTTGCTCAATAAATAATAATTTCCTTCCTTTCCTTTGAATTAGCTTCCTCATTAAATACCATTTATTAACTATATACTATATGCCAGATATAGTCTATATTTTACACTGTTTAAACCTAGAGCAACACAGGATGTCATTATTATTTAAATTTTCATTTTATAAATGAGAAAGCTGCAGCTCAGAAAGTTCAAGTAACTTTCCCAACGTCACACAGCCAGTAAATAATCTGCCTGTCATTCTGCCATAACACTCCTTGCCTCCTAGTGCCTAACTGAAGTCTGCTGCCGTGAGGGGGTGGGATTTTTGACTGGGGTAGGGGAGGAACTATTGAATTTCAGAGGATGGTTCATACAACATGGTGTACTTTGGGGCAGGGCAGTACTGGGTAAAAGCAGGGAACTTTTGGGCTTTGGATAGCCAGAAAGCAACAAAAAGACTAGAAGGGAAGAGAAGAGGGAGGCTGAGTCCAGTGAGGGAAAGGGGTCCTGGAAAAGGAAGTGAATAGCTTGCTTTTACTGTTTGTCAGATTCATCTCCTGGCATCCTGGGTTACCATTGTTAGGGCAGTGATGTGTGGAGGTCACCATTCACAGCCGCACACAGGGCCACTGTTAGAAAGATCCCAGGGAGGATGTTCTTTTTGGTACTGACACCAGGAAAATCTGTGCTGCTCCTGATCAACCAGTTCACTTTTATTCAGTAGACACCCAAGAATCTTGTATATGGTTGTGTCTCTTTCATTGCTTTGGCTGTCAGGAAGCTTGGGGCCAAATTTGTGGCTCTCTTCTAGTAACTATAAAGGGTCTTATGGTCTGGATGTTACATGTTTGTGCCTCAGTCCTGCTTCATTCTAGCTTTCTACTCTCCTTTTCCTATTACTCCATCTTCCTCATCTTTTTTTAAAAATACCTTGTTAATTACAAATACCTATATAAACTGAATTAATTTACATGTATGTGTGTGTTGGGGGGAGGTGTACAAAGGCCGGTCAAATTATTTTTAAAAATGTAGTATGTTTGGGAGATGGTTTGAGAACACCTCCTGCAAAGTGGACCAAACTGTCACTCATATTTATAAGTTACTCTTCTAAGCATTTCAGGAAATTGGTTCATTAAAGTAATTCAGTGAGTGTTTAAGAGTCATGAGTTCTCAGCTGTCTCTTGTCATGTGATCTCATGCAACTTACAAGAGAAGTTTCTGCTCCATTAAAGATGATAGCTGGGTGGCTTGGGTAATGCATCCTATCCCCTTCCTCAGTCCCGCATCGTTCAGACAAACGAGGGATTTTATCACAGCTGTAGACCAATACACACCGAATGCTATTGAAAAGACGTGCTCATTTTTTTAAGCCCTAAATGCGTCTCTGTTTCTACCTGAAACACTCGGGCCTGAAAAGAAAGTCCCACTCTCTACCTGGAGCTTCCTGAAATCTTCAAAGAAGACTCAAATCATAGTTCAGTGCTTGGTCAGGAGCTTAAGTTCTAGCACAGGAAAATGGGCAATGTATAAAATACTATTTAAAGATGTCTAGTCTAGAAAAGTAAATGAATTAATTTCGTAGAAAAGCAGGCCAGTAGGGAAAAGTCTCTGCCCTACTTAGGCAAGTGTTTTGCCTATAAGGGAAGCTTATTTTCCATTTTTTGCGTTGTCACTTGCCCAACATTTTATCTTTGTTAGGCCCCATCAAGTGATTTTTATGCCCTGGGCCACGAGGTCATGTTAAACTCACAGTGGATCTCAAGTTTGTTACATTAATAAAGAAAACTGGTTACTTATGGTCAAAGTTCTTAATGAGAGTGCTATATGAACCTAGCTAAAGAATGCTTTCCAAACATTCGGAGTTTAGAGCTTGCTAATAGAATTTGTCTTTAAGCGCCCAGAAAATAAACACAGGGACCCACCTAGATGTGTGTGTGAGGGTATATGAGGAGTTGGTCCAGTGTATTCAGTCCAGAGTGTTTCTTCCTGCCACAGGGGTTCATGGGCAGGAATTTTGTCTGTCACTTCTCAAGGTACCTGAGACCTTCTGTGTATGTAGTACTCAGGCAGATTCTCAAGGAATGCTTTCCAATTAAAATTTAATTCAGCAGAACACTTACTGAGTATCTACTATGTGAGAGGCTTTATGCTTTGAGGAACATAAAGATGAAAAGATGTAGTTTCTGACCTCAAGGGGGGTTCCGAACCAGTTGCACTGGAGTTGATGCCGGCTGATAGCAACCCCAGGTGTCAGAATAGAACTGTGCTCCACAGGGTTTTCTATGACCGATTTTTACTTGTGACAAAAACGTTAAGTATTTTAATGAGAGGTTCCGTGTATGATTGGTGTTTGCCTCTTTGGAAGCAGAGTGAGTATATGGAACTGTACTTTGTCACCAGCACCGCTGGAGGCTACGAGGACTAAGGGCCCTGCGGTTGGACTCCTTCTAAAGGCTCATTTTAATCAGGTCCAGCCAATGGGCATATCTGTGTCATGACAGATGAGGAGACTTCTGAGTGAAACTGACTCTTGGTTACAATTATTTAGGGTAATTTTGCTTAAAGTATGGTTCTCTAAAATACCTGCATGTGATATACTTGGCATTGCTTGTTAAATATAGTTTCCTGGGGCTCAGCTCAGACCTACTGAACCAGAATCTCCGGGAGTGAAGCCCTGGACTCCACATTTTAGCAAACTCCTCAGATGATTCTAAAGTTTGAAAAGCATTGGTCTAATGGTTGGTGAAGTGAGAAATATGCCAGTAGGATCAGAATTGAGATGGAACTTGGCAGTTTGCTGTGGTTATCCCCTTGTCTTAATGTTTTCCCTTCTCCTTGATCTATTATGGTCCTGCCTTGAAATAGACAAACGCCTCAGGCTACCATATTAGAAATAAAGAACTAAATTTTCTAGAAGGTGAATAACATTTATTTTTTTTCAAATTGAAGCACTCAGGGAGAAGAATCGAACTGCACCATCATCCACACACATATCACGGACGACTGGCTGGACTGTGCTTTCACCTGTGGTGTGGACTGCTGAGGTCAGGGGAAGTACCTATGTCTCCAGGTGTTTGTGAACCTCACCCACTCAGGTCAGAAAGCTCTCCTACATTATAATGAAGAGGCTGTACAGATCAATTCCAAGGTAATGTGAAGTTCATGTAATTAAAGGGCTAGAATTACAGCAATCCTCCATGCTAGGCTGTCCCTAGCAGGGTCAGTACCTAAGGCCATTTCTAGGGATAGAGAAGTTTCCTTGTGGTGGTCAAATCAAGATGAATGAAGCTAAAAGCATTACTGAAGGAAAAACGGGGTACATAGAAAGGAGAAGAATTAGTCCAATTTCACAAATCTCTGTCTGGCATTGACAGGCTGAGCCAATGAGCAGCATCATTTGTACGCAGCCTTACTTTTGGAGGTCCTATTCTACATCATGGAAACCCTGGTAGCAGAGCAGTTAAAAGTTTGTCAGCTAACCGTAAAGGTCAGCAGTTCGAATCCACCAGGCACTCCTTGGAAACCCTATGGGGCAGCTCTACTCTGTCCTACAGGGTCACTATGAGTTTGGAATCTACTTGACGGCAATAGGTTTGTTTTTTGTGTTTATTCCACATCATATCAAAATGTTAAAATGTACTCACAGCCCACCTTAAATCAAATAATTTTTCTTATCAAAGAAATCTAAGGGATTATTTAAATTTTGATTTTTAATAAGTTACTCAGTTGACTTATATGATTTAAAGTTCATATTTATACCCAACTGTAAAAGTTGTCATATTAGATTAGTTGACATTACATTTTGTTGTCTTTGATTAAACATTAACTTCAATCTGATGATTTCTGTTTTCTATTTTACATGTGATAATTTTTACGGTCTCAAACATTTTCATAAGCCCTTAGCACAGTGCCTGATAGATATGGTAATAAACCTCAAGCTCTTTTGAAAAACACACCAATTGATAGAGTGCTCTTTTACTGGTTTTGCCTCCCAGGAACCATGGCCCAGGTGTAGGGCTGCCTTCTGTGGCCTAGGACAGAAACCTTCAAGGTTCTCTCCTTTAGGGAATGAGTTTACTACAGGAGATCAAGGCAAAGACAGTAGAGGCATTAATGGGTGTTGGAAGCACATTAAAAAAAAAAAGAAACCAAACCCGTTGCCGTCGAGTCGATACGGACTCATAGTGACCCTGTAGGAAGAGTAGAGCTCCCGCATAGGGTTTCCAAGGAGTGCCTGGTGGATTCGAATTGCTGACCTTTTGGTTAGCAACCATAGCTCTTAACCACTACGCCACATAGTAAGACTCAATAAATATTTGTTCAATGGACAGATGGATTCATTGAGTTACTGTCCAGGAAGAGACCTTGAGGATGAGTCATGGTCCTTGAGAAGTTGCAATGGCATGTATTCTAAGAATTCCTTGCCACATCCCTGTTTAGCACCTGGGAATGGTCATTTCACTGTGTCCTCCTGCCAACCCTTCTCCATGAGCTATGTAATAGGTTTTATTCACCTCCTGAGACTGGGGGGGAAAACAAAACAAAAAACAGTTGCCATGGAGTTGACTCCGACTCATGGAGACCCCATGTGTGTCAGAGTAGAAATGTGTTCCATAGGGTTTTCAATGTCTGATTTTTCAGAAGTAGATTGTCAGGCCTTTCTTCCAACGTGTTTCTGGTGGACTTGCACGTCCAAACTTTCAGTTAACGGCCAAGCGCATAACTGTTTGCACCACCCAGGGACTCCTCTGAGATTGGAATTCTCCACTAATAGCTTTAGGCTGAAGGTATCTCAGAATTAAAACTGTTGTTTAATTGCTTAGTATTGGTAACAGTGCCTTTATCTTTCTTCCTCCTCCATATTCCTAGTGCTTTTACATGCCTAAGCGTCACCGAGATAGGAATGATTGGTGCATCAGTGCTCTGGACATAAAGGAATTCTTCGATCACAAAAATGGGACTCCCTTTTCATGCTTCTACAGTCCAGAGAGCCAATCGGAAGATGTCATTCTCATAAGAAAGTATGACCAAATGGTTATCTTCCTCTGTTTATCTTGGCTTCACTGACTCTGCTAGGCGGTGCCCTGATTGTTGGTATGGTGAGATTGACACAGCACCTGTCCCTACTGTGTGAAAAATACAGCACTGCAGTCAGAGATGAGGTAGGTGGCCAAGTACCCTATAAAGAACAGCATCAATTCCAACTGTACAGTACGGTGAGGAGCAAAGGAAGGAGCAGAGAAATTGTAAGATGGTGGCCAAATTAAAGTCCTGTCCTTCAGGTACCATTTCTGCAGTTGAAGACCGAATTACTTCTGCTAGCAAACTAATCATGTAGAGGGTAATTAAAGTATCATATATTTTTTTTAAAAACCTCATTATGTATTCTATTATTTTTATGAATACATGCAAACTTACCATCTTTCTATTCCAAATCTCTTTCCACCTGAGGCAAAGAAGCATTTTTTTATTTTTTTGTTCTCACATGGCAAAGTCAGCTCAGGGTAGTTGTGTTTCATCTAACTTTTAAGCTGTAGCTAAAATCTGTCAATGAAGAAATGAACAGTGAGGGCATCTAACCCATTGAGCCCTGACCCACACCAGCCTAACTCTATGCAACATAGTTCACATTAAAACATTTCTCATAAAAAAAAAAAAAATCTTAGTGAAGAACAGTTCATTCACTATAGGGAGATAAAAATCTGTTAGATAATTTAAGAAAAATGTAGCCCTGCCATATCTATTACAGTTTGTTCTTTCTTCCCCATTCATGATAGAGGAAAGCCATTGCCTAGAAAATTCACCAAGTTTAGAGTTGTTTATATTTAACCTTGCTATGCATCATGTAATTTTTCTTTTGGTGGCATTTTTTGAGTTAATTATGCTTTTCATAAGCTTATTTTGTTCTTTGTGCACATTCTGGTGGGGGTGGGAGAAATGGCTGGAAATATGTTGTGAAGTGGGGGAAGCAATACTGGAAGTCAACATTCATCTCAGATAATCCACATTTAGAAAAGTCCCACATGGATAGTCAGTAATTGTCTGTACTTTAATTAATGAGTCAACCATGGTTATTAAATACTGAATGTCACAAGTCCCTCTCAACAAGTGCTTTCTGGGTAAATTAAGCTGAACATATGAGTTGAAAACAGTCTGTTCTGATTTCCAATGTGCCTCGAAGTATCTTTAAAATTTTACTAAGCAATCTTAAATCATGGACAACGTAATGAAATCTTCTGAAGCAACTTTTACATGTAAGATATAATCAAACCAGAGACTTGGATTCTAGGCCAGTTTAATGCTTTTTAACAGTTAAAGTCATAAATTGCTAAATGAACTGAACAATTAAATACAGCAATATTGACTAAGTCTTGTTGTTTCTCCTCTTTCTAGTGTGGAATGGAGAGAACATGTGTCTCAAAGTAGGACTTACTCGGATTTGTAGCCCATGTTATAACTTTTTAGATAAGTATCCTTGGGCAGGAGCCCTGGTGGCTCAGTGGTTAAGCGCTTGGCTGCTAATCAAAAGGTCGGCAGTTCGAATCTACCAGCTGCTCCTTGGAAACCCTATGGGGCAGTTCTACTCTATCCTGTAGGGTCACTATGAGTCAGAATCAACTCGACAGCAATGGGTGTGGGTTTTTTTGGTTTATCCTTGGGCAAGTCAGCTAAACTGAGCCTCTCCTTTTTTTTTTAATTTCTTCCCATACAAAAATTTATACTTATGTGACTGTAATTGCTCTCCCCATACAGTGACAGCACACTCCTTTCTACCTGATTCCCCATGTCCATTCAACCAGCTTCTAACCCTCTCAACCTTCCCATCTCATCTCCGGACAGGAGCTGCCCTAAACTGAGCCTTTTCTTCTGTGAGAGTATTTTAAGGAATAAATGAGGTAGGGTATGTGAAACACCTAGCTTAGTTGCTGGCACCAAGTAGAGGTGCCCCAAAATATTAGTAGATAAAAACTCTTGTCCTAAGTTTCAATATTCAGTCAGCCTCACTACCTTTCACTGGTATAGGGGCTGGATTAGGAGAGAATTTTTCTCTGTTCTCCTGGCTAAATGTGATAGGTATTTAAGGCCCAGAACTTGCTGTTTAAAAGGTTGTGGTCAATTATTTTGTAAGCCAAAGACCTCTGTTAATAAAAAAATATATGCATGTATACACATTTTAAATCATGCTGCAAATTGAGATTCCATAGTTTTCTTAAGGGCACATCTATTCCAGTTCGTGAAAGTTTGATGTTCATCTAACAATGTGCAATTCTTGGGATTTTTTTCTTCCTAACAAATTCAAAATGAGTAAGTTGAAACCTCAAGTGTGTGTTTCAATTATTGTTTTCCACTCAGATAGTGTCTGCTTGGTTCATCCCAGGAAAGAGATGCATTATGCTTGGAGAACAGAGTCAATTAAGAACAATATTAATTCAAAGTCACTCAAGCCATTTGGCAAATAAACGCAATGTAAGCAAGGATTTGCTTAATTGTTTAAAAGATGCCCATGAGCACTACTGATCAAAGAAAAGCCCAGACTTACCTTTCTCAAGGTTTACAGTAACTGAGAACAATACCAGTTTGCTTTTAGCCCAACTTCACTTTTGGGTTTTGACCTTCAACTGACTTGAAAAAGTATATATATTTCTACCTAAAATTACAAGCATATAATCTTGTTACTTTTATGTTTAAATGAAGTTAATATTTAAACAGGCATACATTTCTCTAATATTCATCACTGTACAGGGGGCAGTACAATTGCCTTTTTAAGTGTAACAGCTTCAGGTTTTCTATCAAGTATTCTCAGTCATTATTGATACGAAATTATTAGCAACACTGTTTTGCCTTGAAGTATTCAGAAGAAATGGCGAAATAGAACTATCACTTTTTTTTGTTTAAAAATATATAGTACACTAAGGATTGTTTGGACACAAGTCAGAGTAATTTTTTTTTTTTTTTTTAATAAACAGCGTAATGTTACAGACTGCAAAGTTAAAGAAAAGCAGACATTGACAGGTTCTGATGAGCACAGACAGTAAGTGCAGTCACAGGCCAGACTTCTTGCTAGGAACAGCAAGACTGGGAAGAGGTCTTAAATTTAGTGACACTGTTATTATTCTATATTCTCAGTACAGTAACACATGCATCTAGCTGTGTCAAATACTTTTTGGGCCATTATTGAAAGAACATTAAAAAACATTCTTCTTCCACCTAGTGCAGTATACCACAGGACTTCAAGTAACTGAATGACAAAATAGAAATAAATAAATATGCTACAATTAAAGGGGTGGTGGGCTAAAAGAGGTGGTGGGAGCTCCTTTTTGAAATTTCCACAGTAAACATTTCATGTGTTACTAGTCTTCTTTTGGTAGTGTCACATTCCCCAAGATACTAACAGTGCTTATGGCATGTTCAAAAGGATATATATCCTTTTAGATTTTATTCAACTCAAACCTTCCAAGTTCAATGATTGATTCATAATGAATTTATGAACTGCAATTGAAACATAGGTTCCACAGCCAAAAACATTTCTAGAACTGAAATGGAGGTAAAGCTCTCCAACCACTTTTAGGTACTTAAATCTGGTAAAGGGCTTTTTCTTATGAAATCAATAGATGATGACATTTGGAAATTCATACTAGAATTATGGAGTTTAGTCTTACAAAAGATTTTAAGGAAATACAAAACAATGAAGGCTTTCTGCCTCCCTGCTCACCCAGGATTAACAGAAACAAGAATTACCTAAAAATATACATAGCCTTTAGCATAACCACACAATTATTTTAGTGACAGATTAAGGTTGTGGATAAATTCAGAGATTTTAACTGGCTTACCAGATGCATCAGAAACCTTTTCCACACTTTACAACATGAAGAATGAGTCTACTGTTGGTAGTGAAAATCAGTTACCTAAATGCACTAAATGTACCATGGGCTGATTTTAGTTTCCTCCCTACTAAAATTCTTATATGTAGTTGTGTAAAAATTAAGTCAGAAAATTTCCTGTGGCTCACACTTGTCACCGTATGCTAACTAGCATGGCTGGAATATTAACATACCTAAAACCAAGTAGAAGGAATGGCCTTGCACTAATAAAAATAAAGTGCAAAATCTTAATCAAGTGCAATACTTGAATGAAATAAGCTTATTTAAAGACTAACATCCCAACTTGGGAAACTTCTAGTAAATTCTAAACTCATCTGAATTTTAGAAACTCAATGCTTACACCTTTTACAAAAGATGCCTCGACTAGGGGAATAGCAAGCAGTGTACACAAACAGACGTGTGCAAATATACACATACAAAATGCACTAATAATGAAGAAAAGAGAACAAAATCAATTTTAAAAGTTAAATTCAAGACCTGGCACCACGGTCTTTTCCAAATGGCTAGAGCAATGATTAAATGTTAGCCAAAGTATTTTCTTAATGTCTCCAATGCCATTAAAACACCCCCATTACCATCAACTCGATTCCAACTCGTAGCCAATTCTGACCTTATAAATCTAAAATACCGTGCTCTGCAAAATCTTTTGTAACGTCAGAGCCTAAAGTACTGAATTGTGACTCATCTACTTTTTTCCCCATTATCTGGTTTCTTATCACCTGGAACCTTCTGAGGTAGTTACCAATCCAATTTTATCAGGACCGTCGTTGCACTGAGCTAATACTCATAATCTTCTCAGAAAGTGAAAATATTTTTTAAGAGAAAAGAAAAGAAGAAAGGCTTCCCAGGCCATGACAATATGATACATTTATAATTTTTAATGTAATAATTAAAAAATAAAAATGATTGTGTTTTAAAAAACAGTCCAGCTGTATTGTTCTGCCACCAAGAATTATTATCTGAGGATCTTGTCAATGCTGACTTTTATAGATCAGCCTTTGAAACGCCATCCTCAATGAGTTCATTCTCTCATGGTATGCACAATATACTCACAATTTTCAGCTTTCTCCTATATAGTGCCCCATCTGAGCAGGATGGATATGAAGAATGGAATTCATTCAGACAGCTCCTCCTTATTCTGCCCCCTCCCTCCATATTCCCCTCTTCTCAAAAACGTCTGAAGTATGAAAGTTGTTTGTAAGTAGTAGAAGCACCACGATCTATCAATACCACAATATTGTCTTTAAACTGAAATATTTAGTGATGTCTTAGACATCAAAATAAATTTTTTAAGGTGGATTCTGAGTACATGGGTCCAGCCCGGGTTTGCAGTTTGTACAGATACAGAAACCAGAGGAATTTATTATATTCAGAAAAGTTGACATGCTGGCTTTAAAATAATGCTGGAAATTAAATTTCTTCAAAGAGTTGTTAAGCATGGGCTATTGATCAGAATCGGAATTAAGTGGATTTACAAAATCATTAAGAAACAAATCTAAGTTTATGTGCTGTGAAATTTCTATGGTGCCTTTAAAATAGATAGGCTACTCATAATTTTTTTATAATGCCAAATCATTCAATTTTTGATGGAAAAAAGAATACAGATGTACTGTGTTTTACCTATGTGAAGATTCCCAATCCATTAAAAATAAAATCCAAGAGGGTGTATACATTCTAATCAAGTCATCATTTTCCTGATTAATAAAAACTACACTTTACACAAAATACTTTATCAGCAGCTATTTTCATCAAAAAACCAATAGTCATAGTTTCAGAGTTGAAAAAGTTACACATTAAAATATTTTACAATTCATTATATATTCACCGGGTTCCCATTTCCTAATGGGCTTATAATATAAAGCAGATTAGAAGGGAAAAACTGCAAAGTTGATTACTTTGACACCAAGTTTTACAGAGGACATAAGAACCCACATGAAGCTTAGGTTCTATCCTAAAATGGCAACCAAATTTCATTCTTAAAAAAATCCAGTTAAAAACATCCTTTAAAAAAAACCAAATTCTACAATATGATTAACAGGTTTCAAATTAACAGCAGTCTAAAAATCTTCAAAATAAATGTTTTTCTATAGCTGAGAATATGGTGAAAAGTTAAAGCATGATTTTCAAACAGGTGATTATTTCTTGCTAGAATGTATTTAATTTTTTTTTCTTTAAATCTGCTTTCCTTTTCGTCTCCAAAATAATCACTGAAAGAAGTCTTTCTCAAGTGATTTAATGAAATTTTAGAGCTAACAGTCAGTTATACCACATAAAAGGAGGATGGTGGGTCACAGGAACGGACCAATCCACGGGGACTCATCTCTGATACTGCAGTACTGGAAGCAGCTATGTTATCACTGACCTACAGCAGAGCCTAGTCACCCCTTGTAGCATTCAATTTTGGGGTCCTTTCTGTGCCTCTTATTTTTAATGTTTGCTTAAACTCTGCTCGGATTTGTTTAAAATACTTAGCTTTTAGAACACAATCTGTATTCTTTGTAGAATCTGTCTATACTTCTTCAAACAGAATTGATTTGGTTATAATAACTTGAAAATAAATGTAAATTATGAAATGTTATGTGGCTTGTGTTTTAATGGCGAGGTCCCAGGGGAAACAAAAACTATCTGGACAGATGTGAAAAATGCAAAATTGTATAAATTTTATGCAAGGAGACTCAAGGCTTTTTTGGCACTTGGGTAAAACACAGTTCTCTGTTAAATCTTCAGTTTCCATCATCAAAGCTTTAGATTTGAATCATTTCACTGAGTTTTCCTATAATCAATTCCTGATATATAAAAAGACTGGGATGTTAGTATGTGTTAACTATATATAATCTCTCAAAAACAAAAAAAGTGTTAAGTATAATATTTTAATAAGTTGTTATTAAATAATCTGTATCTGCAAAAGAATCTTTCTGGTTTTCTGCTTAAAACAGAGCTTAAATTCTTCTGAACTATTCCGAGACAGTTTACAGAAATAAATTCCCCTAATCTTCAAATTTAATTTTCTTGTTGGCAATATTATATACATGCTTTAGTGAAGTACCTAAATCTCCAATAATTATGCCCTTTAAGGGTTCTAAAAGAGCCAATATTAAGAGTATTTATATTAGAGTCCCTTGTTCATTGTTCAAGACTTCTACTATAGGTAACTGATCTCACAGATGGATACTTTAACAGTGATGCTGTGTTACTAGAGAATACAATGTGTACTCTTTATAAAGCTGTACTCCAGTAATATGTCTAATCTAGAAAACTGTAAATAAATTATTGCACTTTTTTTGGTGTGGCACCTGGACATTTGCTAAAGCTATTCCCTAGGGCATTAATCATTTCAAATACTGAGTAAAATATCAGATTCTAGAGTAATGACTTCCATTAGCCCCTACATCTTGGGTTAATGTCTTTCAAAATATTTAAAAATGTATCCTGTGCTCAAATGTAGTTTAATAAAGTTGGTGAGCCCTGACCACCTGTAAATGGGGCATGATCTTAAAATGCTGTTAAGATCCTACTTTTATTATTGAGCTATGGATAGACAGCTCAGAAATGTAAAAAGTGCCTGGTTTCCATCCCCCCATATTATAAAGTACTATTCATGAGTATACCTCAGTAGAGGGGTTTAAGCAATCAGGAAGATAATCTAAATAGTGTTAATTTTGGTAATTACTTTCATATGATTGAGCCATTCTCAACTATAGAAGACGATGGAGGATGGGGAGTTAAAAGTGAAAACAAATAAAAGGAAAGAGGATGAAGTTTAATCTATTTTCCTTACATAGTATACACTGCTCATTGATATGAATGCAACAGAGCCTAAACCTCACTCACAGACTAAAAGTTGATCATGGTGTTACGAACAATCAAAAATTTGGGGTGCAAAACAATGCATGACTATGGGACAGATCATGTAAATAAAGAATATATATTAATGATAGTTTCTATAATATAAATAGCCTTTTATAAAAAAAATAATCTTTTTAATAACATTAATACTTCTATTTTCTGGAAAACATGCATGAAAATGAATTCAGTTCAATTGCAAAAGGAGAAAAAAAAAATCAACCTAAGGTGAATACTGTACAATTCTGGAGCAAGAACTATTCCTGCTCATTCTTTTTCTGTGATGATTATTTATTTTGTGGGGGGTCCAGAATTTCCCTGGGAAATAAGATCAGATGCTTGTAAATACTGTCCAGAAAAAACTCCTCCCCCCTAAACACCTTATAACAGGTCTCATTTGTGACTGCTTCCAAAACTTTGCAGATAAGACCCCAAATCATCAAAAGGGTTGATTTATTAAAAAGAAAAACTCTCTGGTGAAATCTTAAAAGAGTCCCTTCCACCCCAAGCATTTTTCTTCATTAAACAAGGAGTCAAAAAGCTCACTTCAAACTATCAATCGAACAGCAATGGAAAAATAAGAATTTTTCATTCTTTTCCAATTGTATGTAATTTAACACCAACCTTCAGTTTACTTGGACCTAATGTAATAACAGACTTTGTTGTGTCCATGGTTCAAAACATAGAATATTTGCAAGACAATGAAGAACATCATTCTTTTTCCTTCTCCATCATTTCTATATATTTTGGGGATTTTTTGTTTTGTTTTGTTTTTTAAAAAAGGATACAAACAATCTTCAAAGTTTACCTTTTTGGACTTACTTAAGGCATTACATGAAATTGCGCATTATTCTAAAGCTTAATTTTGAAATGAACTAGTTTAGTGCTATCAAACCCTGTTTGCGTTTACATTATTTAAATTATATTTTATTTTTGTTCTTGTAAATTTTAATGCGTTCATGGATTGTGCAATTCCTATGCAACCAGTCTCTTTCTGCCTGCTGACAGTTATTAACAGTGCAGTGTAGAATCCAGCAACTGGGCTTTCAGTTTTTCACTTCTCACTTCAGTTCAAAGCATGCTGCTTAATTGTGTGGAAGATCCAATCCATTTTTGTTGTCCAGCCACCATGATGTGCATCATTCATTTGTTTCATGAAATATTCCAAAGCCTCTTGCTCAGTTTTATCTAAGGCGAGGGTCTTTCGAATGTAGGCAATATCATCAAAAGATTGTAATTCTGGCATTCCAGAGCCAAGCATCATTGAGAAAAGATTTATGAAGAGATTGGCATGCTGCCGAATAGCTAGATAAGCCTTGTAACACATCTCCTGAAATCTGGAAGCAATAGAAACAGTTTAGTCAGTATGGAGCAAAGGGACCTTATTATCTTCAGGTCTCTGCTCAACTGTCACATCATTAGAGAGGCCTTCTTTGATAAACCTATTAAAAAATAGCATTTATCTTCTCTCCTTGCCAACAACGTTCAATTCCTTTTACCTCACTAGAGTATGAAATCCATGAGGGTAAGGTCTTTGTTCATTGCTAGACCAATGCCTAGCATATTAGAGGTTTAATAATTATTTGTTAAATGTATGAACTGGTCCATACTAAAGCCTTTAAGGTACAGATAAAGTGGAATTTTATATATATATATATTATTTTTTTTAGTACTTTAAGGTCTAAGATAGACCTGATACACCATAAAGTAGCAAGAATAATTATAAATAAATGTGTAAATTATAGTCATATAATTTCTTCAAACTATATGACTAAACAATGTTGTCTTAAGCACTATATGTTAACATAGAGAAGGTGGAGACCAATTAGTTAAACAACAGTAACTAATAACTTTTGATGTATTGTGAGGTTTAAGGATCACTTTCTCTTTCAGCTTTAAGTAACTCAATACATTAAATTGGTTTCCCTTTCCATTTTCCTTCACAAAATTAAATAACAAAATATTCAGTCTGTGCTAAAACAGTAATATCTATTATTTTAAAAGGCGTGAAAAATACCAACTGTTTCTGATACAGTGGCAAGAATTCTTTATTTTGTGCTTTTTGATTTCTTGAGATTACCTTTCAAATTCTCTTGTTTTTGTGCATTCTTGTGCTCCTTTACTAATGACTATTAAGAAATCTTGTGTCAAAACAAATGGTACACGTTCTCGTTTATAACCAAATTTTTTCTTCTTGTGATCCAAAAAGTGTCCAAAATCTATATGAAACAGCTTCAAAAAAAAAGAAAGTTATAGTTTGACACATGCAGAATTACAGTACCCTGAACTGCTAAATTTAGTTTAAGAACACCCAAATATAAGAGAAACCTATTATTACTTGTCCATCATCTTTAACCATGATGTTACTATTGTGACGATCTCCAATTCCCAAAATGAAGGTAGCGACACAATATCCAGCACACGAACGTGTAAACAAGTCAATGGCTGCATCATATCTACAAAGAACAAATAAATACCTTATGAGTAGTGTGGATGTACAGAACGATCCAGGCCAAACTGGGAATAGATGGTCAAAGTTGCTATGTAAACAATGGAAACAATCACTGACTAGCATTAGGGGAAGGAAGTAATTATGTCCAAAGATCTGAGGAACTCTGAAATTCTGAAGTTTTTAAGGGTTTCTAAGGAAATTTCTAGATGTTCCTTGACCAAAGCATAATTCTCATTATAGTAAAAATGTATTTTCCACTTCATTAAAATGTTTTTTTGAGTCATTTAAATAATAAATTACAAGTAACTTCAGAATTTGCAATGTTTGTTTTTTTCTTTTAAAAATAAGCAATAAGAACAAACACATTTTAGATATGTAAACTGAATGGGCAGGATTTTATCAAATTATAAGCAATTTTGATCATTTAAACACAATAATTACAAACATTTCAAAGACTGAGCATACCTTTCTCCCAAAGTAGGTACAACTGTTTTCTTTGATCTAACTATGAGAAACGTATGGAACCACTAAAAGACGTCTAACAAAACCTAGATTAACACAGGAAGAAAAGAATAAAAAACTCACATCTCTCCTTTGTTTTTGTCTTTGAGCCACTGGTGTAGTGTGTGGCTGTTGAACTGTAGAGCGCCTTTTAGGCCGCCTTTGCACTGAATCTGCATAATAGTGTGAGAATTTCTCACCACCTCAATAAGTCCCACACAGTCACCAATTGACAAACAACCATAAGGCAACATCCTGAAAAAAGAGCAAATTATCTACAATTAAATGAAGAAATTTTAAAATAGCAAACATTTTAATAGACTAATATATGAATACTCTATTTGCAAATTTGTCATGCATGATCCTTACTGCCTTAATCTAATTTTAATTTTTTTTATATTACAGTGTTGCAAACATATTCCCGGAAAAAGCCTCAAAATTATCTGCCATCATGTAGTATAACCTCCAATTGGGAAAACATTTAATTGTATATAATTTTTAAGAAAACCACTGTGGTAACTGGAATTTTATAAACATTTATGATTTCAAAAATATTGGTGAATTTAAAGATGTTAAATTGACATCAAAATAATACTTGAGGGCATCAATCTCAAATTTTTTATTTCAGGACTCTTTTACATTCTTAAAATAATTATTGAGGACCCCAAGGAGTTTTGTTTGTGGTTACATCTATTGATATGAGAAATTAAAACAGAGAATATAAAAATTTTAAATATTTACTGATTCATCTAAAATATAACCATTACATGTTAATATAATATCTTTCATGAAAAAAAAAAAACATTGTGGTGCAGTGGATTACTTAATATGGCTCATCTAGCCATAGTCTTTGTAACTCCCACCAAATGAGTGGGTGGGATTATGCAAATGAGGCACTTGTGGCCCACCAAGGAGATTGGATAACTTGCTAATAATGTAAATAAGGTACATGGCACCCTTGTGGTGGTGGGACCATGTAAATAAGGTGTATGGAACCCTAATGAGGGGAATTGGTCAGTTTTGCCATCCTGGTAGGCTTAAAGGGAGACATACAGAGAGAGAGAGGAGCTGTAACACAGAAGACAGCAAGAGACGGTGGCACAGGAGTCGCAAGAGTGGTAGCAGTGCGATATGGCAGGAACCAGGAGACCGGCACGAGATGGCCGCGGTGGGGTTTGCTGACCGAAGGAACTGAGAGTTGTTAACACTTGCTTGAGAAGGCTGCCAGCAAGGCCCGGCAGCAGCAAGGCCGCAGCAGTGCCCAGTGGCAGAAGGCCCCCAGCAGGGTCTGACAGGAGAGGGCAAGAAAAACCTGTCCTGATCGAGGAACTGTGTCCTGAGTTGTTCCTGTTACTTCCAAGCTGATCCTGATCCCAAGTTGTACCATGTTACTTCCCTAATAAACCACTTAACTGTAAGTATGGTTCATGAGTTCTGTGAGACATTGCAGCAAATTACCAAACTCAAAGCTGAGAGGGGGAGTAGATAATGTTACAGATGATGAAGTGGTACAGCAGTTTGGAAAAGTTGGGCATTTGGGACATCTTTAACTTCTGCCTCATAGGAACCAGCTTTGTGCTGATCCTTATAAAAGAAATTATTCACTTAGTTGGTGTCAGGAATAGGATTCGCTCCAACGGCCTAGACTCACTGGAATATGTGGTTTTGGAAAAAAAGTGACGAATGGGAGAATGAGAAACCTTTGCTTTCTGGATGGGATAAAAAACATCCATGGGCTGAAGCAGCTGTTATGCTGCAATCAGTTACCCAAGGCAAAAGCCATTCGGGGAAACAGGAGTGGTAGATCTAAGGAACTGGCTAGTTGGATGCATAAGGAAATACAGAGTGATAAGAAAAGGTCGAAACATACAATTCCTTGGTTGCTGTTATCAGTAATAGCTGCAAGGGCAGGGAAAAAAGAACATAGGGGCAGACTGTAGTACTGAACCAAGCCCAGATCCAGTCCGGTGAGAAGTATGACCACTAGTCTCAGGGCTGACTCGAAAAGGAAAAATAGTGTCGGAACAACAGAAAGTACTATGACCACTGGTCAACAAGACGGTAGTCCCAGGAGGGGAATGGGCAAACCCAAGAAACTACTGAAACCAGGGAGTATAGCGTAAAGGAACTGCTTCAATTTGTAGATCGGTATCGTCAGCTTTCTAAGGAACCGTTACTAAAGTGGATTGTGAGAGCAACCAATTTAAGGGCAGTGTCTTTAGTTTTGAATGTTGCAGAATGGAAGAGTATATTTGGGTTGATGCAAAAACCCACAACTCACTATGGATCAGTCACGAACAATGATACAAGATCCAATTACACAACAGGTTAACCCGGAGGGGATGGACAGCCTGGTGGACTGGATAAAACTTGCACTGAGATTTGTTTACCCTGAAAAGGGAAAGTGCCCCTCTCCCCCTCTAAATACCCAATGGAACACCCCAGAGGAAGCAGCTAATGTGCTGCTTAGACAAGCCATGCTGGAACAGCTTTATGGTGATCAGGATATTCATCCAATTAGTATACACCTTACACAGGTCATGGCAGATATGGTAATCAAGGGAGTCCCTTGTACACGGGCACCCCATGTAACCTTGCTACTGTGAAACAAAGCAACAATCCCAGAAGCCTTCTCAGATTTGTTGGGACAGCTTCTCTGCATGGGTCTTATGCATGCGAGAAACGTAAGCGTGATTTATATGAGAATGGGAAGAGGCAATGGGGAAAAAACTTAGCAGGACGGAGATTTTGAAACGGTTACTAAGAAATAGGATGAATACAGAAGACATTGATGGAGTTGAGACAAAGGTTCCAATACAGCACTATGGGAGGTTGGGTGGACCAGCCAACTCCTGCTGGTCCCCAAATGTTAAAGAAGTCTAAACAAGTCGGTTCTATTCACCCCAGTTGGGAGGAATTTAAGGATGGGAAGTCCCACCTGGGACCACTGGAAGCAGAGGCTCAGGCTAGTTGATAAAGATAAGGATTGATAAGGGGGCCAGGGCCTTCTGGTCTAGACTAAGCAGGGGACCAATGCCATATGCACATGTGTGCGTGAAATGGCCCAGGGGTAGGGAAGAGACCTTGGGGCTTCTGGACACAGGAGCCCAAACCAAAAAACCGTTGAGTCGATTCCAACTGATAGCAACTCTATAGGACAGAGTAGAACTGTCCCACAGGGTTTCCAAGGAGTGGCTGGTAGATTTGAACTGCTGAGCTTTGGGTTAGCAGACAAGCTCTTAACCACTGTGCCACAGGAGCCCAATGTGCTGTAATCCCAAAACCTGTCAATAAAATCTTGAAGGGGCCTAAGATTAGGCTGGGGGTATGTGGGAATGCAATGGTTGATGGGATTAAGGTGAAAGTTTGGATGAGAGTTGGAAGATTTAAACAGATCTTGCATGATGCAGTTTCATTTTTCTTATCTGAATGTATTACTGGTATGGATATTATGTCTAATTGGGGAACACTCCCTCTACCTGATATTGTAAAACTGAAGGTATGTAAGTCTGTCCTTAGGCCAGTATTGACTGGACATGCTAAAGGGAACCATCAGAATTGCCCAAAACCACTCAGGTTGTCAATCTGAAACAGCAGAGGATACCTGGTGGACAAAAGGAGATTACTGCTTTGATTACAGACATGCTAAAGGCTGGAGTGTTAGTGCCAACAAATTCTCTGTATAACAGCCCTGTAAGGCCCATGAAAAAGGCAGATGGCTCATGGAGAATGACAGTAAGACTATCGAGAACTAAATAAAGTAGTGCCACCTGTGGCTTCAGCTCTTCCAGACATGTATCAACGGTTCAGAAAATACAGCAGGCTAAAGGAGAATGGTACTCAGTGACTAATCTTTTTTTTTAATTGCTGTAGTTTAGATGAAGTTTACATTTCACGTTAGTCTCCCATAAAAAAATTTACACATACATTGTTATGTGACCCTAATTGCTCTTCCCATACTGTGACAGCACACTCCTCCTTTCCACCCGATTCCCCATGTCCATTCAACCAGTTCCTAACCCTCTCTGCCTTCCCATCTCACCTACAGACACAAGCTGCCCATTTAGTCTCTTGTATCTACTTGAGCTAAGAGGCACACTCCCCATGAGTATCA